GCAGGGGACTGCTGGTGACAGAGCCAGGCTCAGGCCCCAGGGGACTCTGGGTAATGCACCACCTACCAGTTCTGACCTTCCTCTCCCATAAACCCCCAGAGGCTCTTGCAAGGCAGGCTCTCCTGGCCCCAGGTGTCCCCTTTGCAGTTTTCCCTTTGGTCCTCCCAACCTGTTCTGTTGGTCCCTTTAGGGGACTAAGAGTCAGGCAGTCACCCCAGGCATTCACTCAGAAACTCCCCACCCATGTGGTCACTCAAGGAGCCAGGCCAGCCCTGTCCCCACCTTAGGAGGGAAAACAGAGGTCTCAATAAAGACTCACTCCCAGGCTCCTGCCCTGATGCCAGCTGGCAGTGCCCTCCTATCCTCCCCGCTTGGCTCCCCAACCCAGCCCTCGGAGGCCAGACTCGCACTGTCTGCTCTTCTCCATCTCCCATCAGGCTCCTAGCTTACAGAGCTTCCTGCAGCAGCAGGCTCAGCTGGAGCTCCTGGCCAGACGGGTCACCCTGCTGGAAGCCATCATCTGGCCAGGTAATGGCATGGCGGGCAGGCAGGGGCAGCCTCTTCCAGGAAGGGCCTGGGCATGCAGAAGACACCTTCTGATGCTCAGCCCAGGCCAGCGCACACTTGTTCATCCAGCCAGCCAGCAGATGGTGCCTGGTAGAGAGAAGGCTCTGGTCACTGAAGTGAATGAGCACCTGCTCTGTGCCAGGCACCTTGTTGGGACAGGCTCCACCAGATAAGACAGATATAGCCCTGCCCTTGAGGAGTGTAGGGTGCTGGGAGGCTCGGGAGAACCCTGACACTGGTAGAGAAACCCAAGGTGAGCTACACCACAGGGAAGGGAGTACAGGCAGCCATGGGAATACAAGTCCCTCTGGCCTGGTCTAGAAGAGGTTGGAGGGGGTATCAGGGAGGTCTTCCTGGAGGAGGTGATATCTAAGTGGAGACCTGAAGGGCAAAGATCTGGGGAGAGTGAACAGGCAGAGAAACAGCATGAGTGAAAGCCGAGAGACCAGGAGCCCAGAAGCAAGAGCGTCCAGCAGGGCCCAGATCGAGAAGGTCCTAGAAGGCAGCTTGGGATTACAGGAAGTGGTTAAGACACCAGTAGGCAGTACCCCTCCCTGCATCTGGCTCCTGGGAGTGAGGCTGAGAAGGTCTCTCCCCATGAAACTGGAGCCTGTGGCTGGCCCGGAGAAAGGAAGGGATTGGCCACTCGAGGGACTGGGCTCTTTTCCTCACCTGCCCAGCAGCCCCATCTCACAGCCCAGTGAGCACATCAGTGCACAGAGGCCTCCACATCATGTCCAACCTCACATCTATTTTAAAGACTGAGAGGCTGGGTGTGGTGGCTCTCAGTGTAATCCTAGCACTTTGGGAGGCTGAGGTGCATGGATCACCTGAGGTCAGGAGTTTGAGACAAGCCTGAGCAACATGGTGAAACCCAATCTCCACTAAAAATACAAAAATTAGCTGGACGTGGTGGTGGGCACCTGTAATCCAAGCTACTTGGGAGGCAGAGGCAGGAGAATCACTTGAACCTGGGAAGCGGAGGTTGCAGTGACCTGAGATCACTCCACTGCACTCCAACCTGAGAAACTTAGGTCCCAAGCAAGAAGGAGGGTGAAAGTGAGAGCCCAGCCTCCTTCATCCAGCAAAACCATAGGGAGCACTCTGAAAGCAAGGCTGGGTGGGCACTGGTGGTGCTCTGAAGTGCAGACAGGCCCCTGCCTTGGGGAGCTGCCCATAAGAGACAGGGAGTCATACCTATAGAGCTGTGGGGTTGGGGAGCACGGAAGGATGTGGATGAGGAACAGTCACTTATCCCTGAGGGTGGAGAAGTCTTCTTGGAAGACAGGACTCTGCCTTGAATCCTGGAAGATCCCAATGAGTGTGCCAGGTGGGGAAGTGGGCAGGGAAGCCCTGAGAGAGAGTCCTGCCTGTTCAGGGGCCCAGAGGCTGGGAAGTGTATGGGGTCTGCTTCCAGAGCCCCTCCCACAGTGCTGCGTGCTTCTCTAACTTCCAGAAACTTCAGTGCCTAGCTCCCAGACATCCTCCCCTCTTACAGAGGGGGCCAAGGACCAAATCTCATGCTCTCAGCACCTTTTTAGGTATCCCCACCCTCTCTCTGAGGATTGGGGCAGGAGCTAGAAGGGACACATTTGGGTCACCGTGACTCTGGACCTGTCCTTGCCTTCAGCCAGCTCTGACAGCCCAGGGAGAGAATTGCCAGGCACCTCAGAAGGCCCACACCCACTGCCAGTGGCCCCTCAAGCCAGCTAGGGTCAGGGCTTGGAGAGACAGGTCCAGGGAGAAGGAGATGGGACAGGGAAGAAGGTGGGACCCTCTTCATTGGCCCAACATACACAGCAGGTGCTACTGAGGACCCAGATGGAGTTCATGTTTAGGTTATAGTCAGTAATTATAATAGTATCAGCTGCCACGTGTCTGGCCCACCTGGGCAGGATTGATCATCGCCAATCTGTTAGAGTAATAAGCTTGCTAGGTGAGCAATGCCATGGCCATTTTACAGATGAAGAAACAGAGGCTTTGTGGGCTCTTGAGACTGCTTCAGGGTCACAGGGATAGGAACAGTCAGGCTAGGGGGTCCACCTCAGGTCTCCCTGCTAAAGTGCTGGCTCTTTGGGCTTCATCAGCAAAGGTTTGCTGACTCCGCTGCTCATCCAGGGCTCCAAATTTGATTGTGACAAAGTCACAGGGACCAGACCTACAGGAGACCTAGGTCAAAATGACAGCAACCTCATAACCATAATAATCCAGCATTTCCTGCAAAAACCACTTTCCAGTCCTGGTCATGGTAAACACATGTATCACAAGAGCATGAAAACGGAACTATTATCCCCATGTTCCCATGAGGCTCAGAGGTTCCGTGACTTGCCCAAGGCCACATAACTGTGGCAGACTGGGACCAGGACACAACCCTAACTGGCACTGGGGCCAGTGCTCTGTGCCACTCCTCTCCCACGCTCCCTGACTTAGGGCACGGTATGTCCCTTTCAGTGACCACACATGCCTGTCTGCTCCAGGAGCCCTCATCTCAGCCCAGAGTGCATGGGAGGCTGGCAACACAGGGTCAGGGCACTGGCAGTCATGATTACGAGAGGATAGCCCACTCCCTGGCAGTGCCCTCAGTGGGAACCTAGTGTTCACCAGAACCCAAGTATCTGTCCTATTGAGGCTTAGCCAAGTCCTCCACCGAGGGCTTCTCCTCCCTGAGTGTCCGTCTCCCCCTAGAAAAACAGCCTATTCTTCTGACCTGCCTGGCCTGCTCATTTTGCTTTGGGAAGGGCTGAGATGATAGTCACAGAAGGCTTCCTGGAGGAGGTGGCTCCTACCCTTGGTTTTGAAGGATGAGTAGTTTTCCAGTTCCATCTGGAACTGTCCCTGTTTTAGAGATGAGACAACTGAGGCTCTGACAGAAGCACATCTTGCCCAAGGCTGCACAGCAGGTCAGTGGCAGAGCCTGGCCACCTAAGCCCTTTCCCCCAACTGGTGGCTTAGCCCAAGTCTGTTCCCTAGCCTCAGTTTACCCAGCTACCAAATGGGGATGATTCAGGGCACACCTCTACCCCAAAATGAATAGAAAAAATAACCAGCCTTTATATGAAGCATTCATTGCATGCTAAACACTCCTAAAGGCAGTGCGTCTGGTTATTTCCACTTGACAAAGCAGGAATCAGAGGCCCTGAGTGCTCTCCTTGGGTTGGGGGCTGGTAAGTCCTGGGGGGAGGCACTAACCAATCTGCAGACCCCCTTTCCCACAGCTCTGCAGCCAGACACCAGGGTAGATTACACCTAGCAGAGGGTGCCCAGTTCTGCTACCCCCTAGAGGGCCAAGGGGAGGTGGGCACCTTACATGAACCCCCTAATGTGGCCTCTCTCCTTCTCCTTCCCTTTGGCAGAACCAGAGCTGGGGTCTGGGGCAGGCCCTGCCGGCACGGAAACCCCCAGCCTCCTTCGGGGCAAGAGGGGCGGATATGCAGCCAACTACCGGATCGTGGCCCCCAGGAGCCGGGACGAGAGAGGCTGAGGGCGGTGGTAGCTCCTGGGGCAGACCAGGCCAGGCTTCCCCTCCTACCTGGACTCAGCTAGCTGCCTCCAGGGACCACCCATCCATATTTATTAATGTCCTCAGGGTCCCTTCTGCCATCTAGGCCTTAGGTGTAGGCAGGTCTCAGTCCTGGCACCTCACACATGTCTGAGGCTAAGCAGGGCCTGAGAGGTGAGGCCTGGGCCTCAGTTTCCCTCTGTGAAGTGGGGGGATGTAGGCCTTCAAGCGGGGGTAGAGGTACAAGGCTTCCTCTCATCTGCTTTCTGAGCATCTAGGCCCAAAGGCACTGAGGCAGTCAGGAGCTGGGGCTCAGCACATGCAGGGATGACAGGGTGGGGAGGCAGTCTCCCATCCCCTCCTCCCCAACTAAACCTCGGGGTGCCCTCCAGCGTCCCTCCCTCCTTGTTGTCCAGTGCTGGGTTCCCACCCCAAGGTCAGGCTGCCCAATCTCTGACTGGATTGCCGGGGGCTCCTTGCCTCAGTTCTCCCCTCTGAGCCCCCAGCCTCTCCTGCGTCTCAGTTGGGGGTGGGGGCATGGAGAGGAAGGGGCCATGTGCTCCCACATATGCTTTTCACAGACACCAGGAGGTAGATGTGTGCTGGCCAATAAAGGCCCCTACCCGATTCCCCGCAGGCTGGTCTCACTGTGTGCTTAGATGGGGGCAGCAGGGAAGAGGGTGTGATGGGAGGAAGGCTAGAAATGGGCAGCAGACAGGCAGTGGAGAACACTCTGCGCTGGAGGACAGGCCTCCTGGAGGAACAGGCTGCACCGTGCAGGGGCAGGAAGCCTGTGTCTCTAGACATCAGGGGAACAGTTCTCCCACAACTGGTCATTCATTTGGTGCTCATTCATTCATTCATTCATCCCTTCATTCCCCTGATGCCAACACAGAAGAGTCAAACACAACTGCTGCCACCAAGGAGGTCCAGGTTGAAAAGCAAACTGGTTTTTATTCTCAATGTGTACTAGGGCAGCATGCTGGGGGCCTCTCCTGCCTCCAGAGGTGCCTCTGTACCCCACTGTGGCCCTCAGCAGACAGAGCAGGGGCTCAGGCTACCCACATGCAGCCCAGCCCCTTGGCATCCAAGGGCCTGCCTGTACCCCCACTCTCTGCCTGAGCTAGGGAGGCCCAGGACCCTCAGAGTAGGCAGGCCCACCCTTCCCCTGGGTCACCAGGGCCTCAGTGCCCACTTGTCCTCCGACCAGCAGTGACACAGCACCCTCCACTCGGCCTGTGGCTGCCAGCGCCACCACCGCCTGCTCCGTGGGGAAGCCCATGTGCTCCAGCTGCTGCAGCCTGTGGGGAGTGGGGAGACAAGTTGGAAGTGTCAGGGCCACCTGTGGCCCCAACACCAGGGGACCCCACCTCTGCCCAGCCCACCTTACCGCAGAGAGGAGACAGAGGACTTGGATAGCCATGGTGGGCTCTGGGGCCCCTGGGATGGCCTGTCAAGAAGTGAGGCCTGGATCCCCTCCTGCAGCATCTGCTCATCCAAGACCTCCCACATCGGAGTCCCTGGGGAGAAGCTGGCCCCGGCCCAGTCCAGGCCCACCTCTGAGGAGCCCTCCCAGGTGGGTTGCACAGGCCTCAGACCTGGTGGGGGCAGGGCCGAGCCTTCACAGTGGGACCAGAGGTCAGAGGAGGCCACATAAAGTGGTCCAGGAATGGGAGGCCTGGAGGAGTGGGAACAGAAGAGAGCCTGACTGCCAGCCCTGCCACATCGCCCGCCACCCAGATTGGTGTCCCCTGCATCACCCTCACCTCACTCCGGCAGGATGGGTGACAGGCAGCTCAGCCAGGCTGCTCGGGATGGGAAGGAGCCTCAGGGGCCAGCACCCTGCCAGGGTCCTGCACAAGATGCCCTCTTGCAGTGACTGCAGCTGCCGCTCCGAGGGCTCCAGCCACCGGAAGGCCCCAGCTGCGTCTGTCTGCCCGGGGCAGGGCGGCTGGTCAAGGAAAACCAAAAGCAGCCAGGGGTGGGCCCACACCACATGCTAGGCCCCATGCAAAGTGTGCTGGCCATTCCCTCCCATATCCTCACTGTGGCCCAGCATGGAATAGCATCACCTCGTCAGCAGCGAGGCTCAGAAAGGAAAAGGGATCTGCCTGAAGCTACTCAGCCAAACAGAGCCAGGTATGCCTCAGCCCAAAGCCTGGGCTCACCCCTGACCCACTCTGTTCCCAGAACCCTGTGCACCATTTCAGGCCCACCCTTCCTGGAAGAAGGTCCCATTGACACACCTGCTCTTGCCTTTAGACAGGCCTGGATAGTTCATGTCCCCAGTCCAAACAGGCTCCTCCCCCAAAAGCCAGAGAGCAGGGGCCAGAGGCACTTTTCCCCCCACAAGTATGAAGCACCTTAGGGCTAGATGCAGTGGTTCACACCTGTATAATCCCAGCACTTTGGGAGGCTGAGACGGGATGATCACTTGAGGCCAGGAGTTCAAGACTAGCCTGGGGAACAGACCCATCTCTACAACACATTTTTTAAATTAGCTGGACATGGCAGTGCACACCTTTAGTCTCAACTACTCAGGAGGATAAGGTGAGAAAACCGCTCGAGCCCAGGAGTTTGAGGCCGTAGTGAGCTATGATGGTGCCACCACACTCCAGCTTGGGTGGCAGAACAACTCTGTCTCTAAAAATTGAAAGTATCTTACGAGCAGAACACCAATAAATAGTGCTCTAGCACTGTTTTATTTCTTCCTTTTTGGTTTTTTTTTTTTGAGACAGTCTCACTCTGTTGTCCAGGCTGGAGTGCACTGGCCTGGTCTTGGTTCATTGCAGCCTCTGCCACCCAGGTTCAAGCAACTCTTCTGCTTCAGTCCCCTGATTAGCTGGGATTACAGGTGTGTACACCATACCCAGCTAAGTTTTATATTTTTAGTAGAGATAGGGCTTCACCATATTGACCAGGCTGGTGTCGAACTCCTGACCTAAAGTGATCCACCTGCCTGGCCTCCCAAAATGCTGGGGTTATAGGCGACAGCCACTGCGCCCAGCCAGGCTTTTAACTTTTGTTTTTATTGCTCAAGGTGGTTTGGCTATTCTGGGTCTTTTGTGGTTCCATTTATAAAGTTTAGGATTATCTTTTCTATTTCTGTGAAGAATGGCCTTGGTATTACAGGGACCCCACAGAGCCCTTTACATTGTAATTGGCACCTCTACCAGTCAATGACCCCCGAGGCCATTGACTCAGAGCATGGCCCAGAGAAGGACTCAGAGAAGCTCCTAGAATGTGTGTGCACAGCTTCCTGGTATTGCTTGGGCCTTAACCCCTTTGGCCACTTCCTTCCCAGGCATGCACAGAACCTGTACGTCCCCACGGGCCCTGGGCTTAGGCAAAGGATACAGGCCAGGCCGGCAAGGAGGCCACAAAGGAGCTGCAGGAAGGGTGGCTCAGAGCTGAGCAGTGGGGTCAGGGCAAGCAGCAGCCACGGCGGCAGCCACGGTGGCAGTGCCCCACGGGGCCGTCTAGGGCGGTGTCCCTCCCCAGCCAGCATGCCCAGGTGGACAGGCATGTATCCACAGCCGCCGGCTGCACCAGACACCCCCAGGCCTGCCAGCAGCACTGCTAGCAGCCCGGAAGCCAGGGCGAGCAGGGCCGAGGCATGCAGGAACCTCAGCGTGCCCAGGTGGCACTCCTGCTGCCAGCCCAGAGTGGGTAGCAGCAGCAGGCTCAGGAGCAGGCCTGGCAGGGCCGTGTGGCCCAGGGCATGGGTCAGCAGCCGGTGCACTGGGAGAGAGAAGGGGCTTATGTGCCAGGTTAATGGCTCCAACATCCAAGGCTGTCCCAGGTGTGCCAGGTTGAAGGTTACCCTACACCAGGGCCACCCGCTGAGCCCACCTCCCCTCCCCAGGAGCCAGTCTACCCACTTAATCATTGGTGGAGGGGGACCAAGGACTTCCAAACACTGCGGCTATGCCTCTGTGGCATGAAACTGAACACGCCGACCTGCCACTCAGTCTTCTCACTAACAACCCGCTACTGAGCACTCACTATGTCCCAGACACCATGAAGGTACTCGGCTTCCACATTTACTGAATCATACCTGGCTGAGAGCATGAGACTGCTTGCTTCAATCCTGGAGCTACCCCATTCCCTCAAGCTGTGTGAGCCTGGTCAAATGAGGGTCCTCAAATATAAACTGGAAGAGTTGTTATTACTGAGAAACAAGTGCTCCGTTGAGGTCGCTCCTCAAGCCCCCAGCATCTCCTCCTTCCCATCCTCATGCTTGGCTGAAATTCTTAGTTCTTTTCTTTTCTTTTTTTTTTTTTTTTTTGAGACAAAGTCTTACTCTGTCACTCAGGTCGAAGTGCAGTGGCACGATCTTGGCTCACTACACCCTCCACCTCCTGGGTTCAAGTGATTCTCCTGCCTGGCTAATTTTTGTATTTTTAGTAGAGACAGGGTTTCACTATCTTGGCCAGGCTGGTCTCAAACTCCTGACCTCAACTGATCCACCCTCCTTGACTTCCCAAAGTGCCGGATTACAGGCATGAGCCACTGGGCCCAGCCTTAGTTCTTATTTCAAGAAAAAGAGGCCAGAAAGGGAATCAGAAAAGCACTCCTACCCACAGGTTCCAGCCCACCCTGCCGAGTTATCTGCCCTCCCTTCTTGGCTGTGGATGTGCTGGGCATGCTCCTGTCTAAGGCCAAGCTTCCCCAGGACACTGGGTCCCATTCCTGCTTAACCTCTGCAGGGCTCATGCTGCTCCTGCCAACTGGGCCCAGGCCCTACACCAAGTCTCCTGCTTTCCAAGGTCCATGTGGCTGGCCCTCACCCTGCCAGGGGTCCAGCAACAGCTCCGGGGCCAGGACGAGGCTGGGGCCGGCTCCCAACAGCCAAAGACTGCTCATCAGCAGCATCAGGACTGAGGAGGCAAGAGGCAGCGACAGGAACAGCGGGCTGTGGGGGCCCCTGGCATGCATAGCTTGGTTGAGGGTGGTCAGGGGCGGTCCTGGGGCTGTGTGCTGGGGGGTAAAGGAAAACAATAACAACAGTTATTATTGCAGCTGTTATCTCACCAATACCCTCTCAAGTACCTTATCAACAGCCCTATTTTACAGAGGTGCAAACAGGCTGGAGAGGCAGGCCCAGCAGCTTGGCCATAGTGGAGCTCAGACCTTAAACCATTTGCTCATGAGCCAACTTGCCATTCCACTCACCTACATTTAAAGACTGGCAGGGGACAGGCATAGAGACTCGAGTCCTGATGGGCCCTAAACTCCCAAAAAGAAGTGTACAGCCCCCTCCCCCAGGGCGAATTCGAGGCCAACTCTAACCCTCTCCTGTTCTCTCCCTTCACCTCAGGCTACTACCTCACCCCGTTTCCACCCTCCCCTGTGCCCAGCCTTAAGGCTCCAGATGGTTTCAGTTGCCCTTGACCCCGGGGTGGGACCAGCCAATGGGCAAGCAGACTGGGGAAGGGGTGGGGCAGAAGGGCAGGAGTCCCACATTTTGAGCCCTACTAGGAGAGCTGGGACTGAGACATCCCCTTTGAGGGCGAGCTCATCCATGGTAAGCCTCCTCCTGCATCCTCACTGGCACAGACCCTCTGGCTCTAGCTCCCCTTTCCACAGGAAGGGCCCAGTATGCGCTCCACCTCTTTCTGCTCTGTGTCCCTAAGCAAGTTTCCCAGCCTCATCTTTTTACAGATGAGCCTCTCCTTCCTCATCTGTAAAATGGGACTTCAGAAATTCCTTTCCTCAGAGGATGATGAAATAAAAAGGAATAGGCTAAGGCAAGCCCTGGCCCACAACTCTTGCTCGGTAAAACACAGCAATTCCCTACTAATCATGGCAGGCGTCTGTTGCCATCAACGGGCCCATCGAGATGGCCTCAGTTTTGGAGGTGGCTGCTCCAGCCTCACTGGTCCCAGCTTTGGCCCTCAAACATGGCCTTTCCCTGCCCACCAAAGCAAGGCCTTTTCCTCTCTGCTTTCCTCTTGCATCCAGCCTGTCCTCCAGGGCCTGTAGGTCTTCATCCCTGGTCAGGCCTCTTCAACCCAGGACTCCCACTGAGCTGATTCAGGGCAGGAAGCAGGATCCCAGAGAAACAAGAAGGCTGCCTAATCTGCTCCCCTGCCAAGGGCATTCTCCACATCTACCAGTTTCCTGCAGGAAAAATGTGGAAAGCTCCTCTGCCTGCATTGTCCTTTCCTCCACTTCGCCAGCAGGCAAACTCCTATTTCACCCTTTGAAGCCCAGCTCAAATATGCCTTCCCCTCCTCTGGCCCCCCAACATCATGGATCTTATCCTTATGAGCACGGCTTGGCCAGTCTGTCTCCCTAGGCAGGTGGTCTGAGCTCATGGCTCCTCTGATCCATCCCCAAATTCCCCAAGGTATTTACAGCACACAGCCAGTGCTTTATATGTGTTCACAGAAAAAAAGGACACTAGCTTGGCTCCTGGTCCTGTTGAAGGATTTGAGGGCATCACGGGCCTTGGCATCCACCTAGGGGGCTAGGCTTGAGGTCCAGGAAGGTGTGTAGGGGCCAGCCTTGCCTGGAAGCAGGGTTTGGGCCCAAGGCACCCACCATAAACCTCCTCCTGCATCCTCACAACCATTCCCCCCGCTCTGGGCACCTTAGCAGGGGTGAAGGGCTTGCTCGCGGAAACTCGGAACTGGGACTTGAGCCCCTTAGACCTCACTTTCTTCAATCTACGAAACGGAGTGGTGCACCACCAGGCCCTGCCTACCTTACTGGGAAGCCAGGAGGGCAGAATGGAAAACAAGGACGGAGATTCTTCCGGGTGGCGGATGGAGTAGGGGTCCTACGGCCTGCCTGGTTCGAACCCAGCTGGGGAATTTGCAAAGATACTCAATATCCTTGGGCCTCAGTTTCCCCTTCTGTAAAAACAGGGGTATTGGATAAGGAATGATTAAAGGGCCTGCTCCACCTCGACTGCTACAGGGGATGGGATCTTGGGGCCAGGAACGGCGTTCGAGGCCTCCCACCCAGGCGACCGGCCTCGGGCCCCTTCCCCGCTGGCCAGGGCCACGCGTTCCGGGTACTCACTGCGGAGCGCGCCCCGCAACCCCGAAAGGCCGGTCGGAGACCCCGGCTGGGAGTAGGGACTGTAGCTCCCAGGTAAGACCCGGGAACCCTGAACCCATTCCGTGCACATCCGGCCGCGTGACCCCGGCCGAGTGGCTGGCGCGCCACCCAATTCCCCGAGGCCCGCGGATTAGTCAGCAGTTGTTCTCGCCCGGGTCCCTTCCCCCAGCCCTCCCGCCGATCTCCGTCTCCCTGCAAGGCAGACTCTTCAGCGACGGTCCCTAGAGCCAGAGGACGGAACCATTCCTAACAACCTGGCCTCGTGCGGAGAGCCTCTCCGGTTTCACATTGAGACCCGCTCAAGGGCTCTCTGGCCCCTTAGGTACTATTTTGGCCCGAGCATCACGTCCGGCGCTCTTTAGAGAGGATTGGGACAAGGGTTGCGTACGCGAAGAACGAGACAGCGGTGGTTCATCCCTCCTGACCCCACCCCCATGGCCTGGCCCGATGGTCGCGCCCGAGGTTGCGGGATTTGCGCCTGCGCAGTGCGGCGCCTAGAGGGAAAGCGAGAGGGAGACGGACGTTGAGAGAACGAGGAGGAAGGAGAGAAAATGGCGTCCACGGGTGAGTGTGGTGTAACTGCGGTCGCGCCAGCGGTAGCGGGAACGCCCAAACAGGGGGCCGTTTGTCTGTAGGCTTGGCTGGGAAGACTGAGTGGGGTTGCCGAGAGGGGTTTGAGGTACCCGCTGCGGCCCGAAGAGCTCAGGGGACCGGCGTTTCTTTCCCCTCCCCCCACCGGGCGGGCCGGTTCTGGAACCTTCCGCCGTCCGCGGCGCGCGGGGGGCTCGCGGCGGCGGGGGCGCGCGGGGCCCGCCTTGGCCTCCATTGTGTGGCGGTCCTCGTGCCCTACGCTCCGGGCCTCCCGCCACGTGGGCGGGGCCTGCGGCCTTCGAGGCCCTGCGTGAAGAGGGGGATTTGACCAGGCCTCGAGCCGGTCAATGTGAAACCGCCGGGGGCGCCGCAGGCCGCTGTTCCTGTAAGGCCGCTCTCCCCAGTTTTCAGGGTTTCCTGAGAAACCAGGGAATAAAGCAAATAAACAGAGAAGATTTCTTGGATTTGTGGGCCGAGGGGTGCCGGCCTATGAGCGGGAGCCTCGTCATTCTTAAGGCCTGGTCGGTTGGGGCGTCTGGCGCTGCCGAGATGCTCCTTCGGTGGCTTCCAGTCTCAAGCCGAACTTCTGCTCGCCTGGGCTTTACACAGAATGTGCTTCTCTCTTGCAGGGCCTCCAGTTTGCGGCTTTCTTAGGCTTCTCCATTTTTATCGTTATTTATTAATCCACGTCTTCCCCTCCCCCAAAACCAATTAAGTAACTTCCCAGGGCCCTTTTTCTGCAGACGCCGAGGGATATATCTGTTGTTCTGAGGCCAACCTGGATCGAGAGATGAGAAATGTTACCAGAAAGGAATTTCTGGCCTCTCTGACCTAGGAGGAACAAAAGGCCAAGCCTGCATTTGAATTACGCTTCAGCTGTGGTCTCGCACGTTTATTCGCCTGCGTTAGGCCGGGAGGCCTGTTGATTTCGTTGGTCGATAGAGGAGAGGGAAAAGAGGCCGTAGAGGACTTGAAAGCAAGCCCCGGGTGGGAACTTCAAAATAGGAGTAGAGAGGTCCTTAAAGGAGTGTCGCCTAGCCATCACCTGCAATTCACAACTTCTGGGTACACTAACCCGCGGAAATTGGCTGGGTAGAGCATATTTGCCTCTGGGGGAATTATCAGGCCACCTGGCTCCAGGTTTTAGAGACGGTGAGAGAGAAGATGGGAAAGAAAAGCTCTGGACCCCCCCAGAGTTTTAAGAGTCCAGAATTTAGCAACTTAAGGACAGTTTAAGAATTCTCCCCATCTGTGTGGTCAGTTAACAGGTAAGTGTTGGCGGTTCTTGCCAGGGTACCAAGGAGTGCCTGTAGAAGAGAGGACTCTGCAATACCACAGTCTAACCTCATGGTGGGAAGTGGTGGCCTAGGTGCCCTTTCCACCCTTTTCTCCTCTGCAAAAACCTGAAAAGGCAAAACGTGTGCGTTGACGTTTTTGCATGGCTGGACATGTCTTTTTTCAGTCAACTTTGTTCAAGCTTTGTCCCTGGTAACTACCATATGCTGTACTCTATTAGAATTAGAATTGTGGTTGCTGTGAGGTAAACACCTTAGGCTTGGCTGGAGGGGCCTTCAGAGAGTCACATAAGTAATCTGGGCCTCAGTTTCCTTTCCTGTAAAATACAGAAGTTAGACTAGACCTAAGCATTGAGCTCTTCTGACCTTCCATCATAAGCATTCCATAAATCTGTCCCATGCTGACTTCAACTCAGGTAATGTGAAACTTTAAATCTGCAGCTTCCATAGTGACTGCTATTAAAGTGTTAAACCGTTGCCTTGGGTTAATTAGAGGTTTTCTGTCCTGGTGTGTATCTTGTAGAAAAGTGTATGAAACATATATCCAGTGCAACAAAGAATTACAGTGCAAACTCCCAGCAGTCTAGAACCCCCATCCCCCATCACAGTGAAGTGATTTTTAATAAAGTCTGTGGCTCACTTTTCGGGATTAAAAACACGGTTGCTGAATAATCTGACCAGTGCGTAATTGTATTAGATTGGTGCAAAAGTAATTGTGGTTTTTGTCATTAAAATGGCAAAACCACAATTACTTTTGCACCAACTCAATCGCTTGTTTGAGATCCTGTGATGTTTGTGTGGTCTGGGGAGATAAATACAAGTTCTTGAAACAAATTTGCTACCTCCTAGAGCCCACCAGTTAGTATAGGGCTGAATCCTCTGGTTTCTCACACGAGATCATTAGTTCCATATCAGCTTTGCCAGTTTTATGCTTTACATAACTGCTCTTGTGCAGAAGTCATCTTGCAAACGATG